GGGTCATATACTTCCGATGCCTGGCGAAGTCACTCTCGGTTGTCGCATACACCATCAAAGGAAAAAATATTCCGACTTCTGCCATGCTGACAGTTCGTATTCAGCAAACGAAACTTGTTCCCGAAGATACTTGATGACATGAAACTGGCATAACAGAATTCGAACGCCAGGCAGTGCCATCTTCAGCACTTCTATCTCAGTGAAATCCTTGTCGAAAACCACACACTGAATTTTCGACCACGATGCATTGTTTTTCTTAAATTCTTCAATCGCCGTTAATAGCGTGCCCGCGCGCTCAGTTTGTAGAACAGAATGCTGCACAGATTGACCCTTGCCAAAGGCATCGTGTACCATGAAAGAAAATATCTTGTACTTAGACGCATTTGTCCCATGCATCGCGTCAATCAGCATAACCTCGGGGAAGCAAAAAAAATACTCTCGCATATGGTGTGTCTGCATGGTTATACCGGTGGCAACTTTATATACGGCAGACATAAAGACCAAAAGCGTCAGTCAAGTATTCGGTAGGCTATACATTGAGAGATACTATGGTGATACCTTTTGCTCGCGATTCTCCACAAATACACGAGCAATATTACCAGGCGTCTCGTTAAACTCCATCATCCAAGTCCGTAGTATCTGCTTGCTCGTCGTCCCGGCAACTTCCTGCTCCTTGAGACGCCGAACAAGGTTGTGGACATCGCGTATCTTCATGCTACAATCCGAATTGTTATGGATAAATTGCAAACCAGATTTCTTCTTTGCCTCCATCTTTCGCAGGACATCCACAGTCTCCACCACAGCAGAAGGGAGCTCCGTCCGAACAGACGCGTATTGCTCGTAGTTTTGTCTAGTTCGAGGGTGATTGTGCTGCAGTTTGGCAACAGTGACACACAACGAAAAGATAGGGTCGTCTGCGCTACCTTTTACGACCCGGACACAAGCATTTATCTGTCACAAACATGCAAAATCCCATATAATATCGAAGATACCTAAAGCTCGAATGAACCCACCTGAGCCCACCTGAGCCCACCTACGTTATTGAGCTCATGTCTAATGCATACCTGCGCACCGCACTGTGTGGTTCTCACTTCTTGACGCGGTCGCTTGCCTTTTCCTCGCGGCTTGTATTTTCCAGCATACGTGCAGACCAATGTCTTGTTGTACACAATCCACTCGTTCGGGATTAACGGGTCCCTCGTCTTCATCTTCGCGATCTTATTGTTTCGCTCTCCCACATTGTTGTTCGTGCGCACGCGAAAACTCTGTAAGAAATTTTGATTTTACAAGTTAGTAATAGGGAGCCAACATTTAAATGTTAGCAGTGTA